AAAGTCGTTTAACATGTTTGCCATTTCCAATGCGTTTGTTTCGGACGAACCGCTATCCCTCTTTAGCTCAATGATCTTACTTGATTTTTGTGCCTTGGTCAAAATCTTCAAAGCATTCCAGATTCCTTTGGGGTTTCCTTTATTGTTTTCGATTGTTTCTTGAAAGTAATCACGTTTTGACTTTTTAATCAGATTTACAACATGACATTTGGAGCGTTTATAATTTGCCCAATCATCAATAGCATTTGATTTCCGCGCCCTTTTAAGATCTTTATCACGTTTTCCGATCGCAACTACTATCTCATCATTTATCCAAGCCGGCTGTTTAAAACGTTTAACCCTTTTCTGCTTCAATGGGATATGATCTATCACTATTTGATTTAAAAATATTTCAAGTGTTTCAAGAACGTCATCAACGTCGTCAAAGATAAAGGCATTATCCCATGGGCATTTACTTAAGTCTTCGAGCAAGTTTTCTACATTCAAGTTCTTAAAGTCATGGTAATTTATCACTTTATGTGATGAATCCTTATTTATTTTAAGAAAAGATGGAAAGAATCCTTATTTATTTTAAGAAAAGAGGAAAGATGATCACATTCCTTGTTTGCCTTATGCCTGTTTATTAGGCAAGAATAGCCTGCCGGCCCGGGAGCAGTGCATTGTGGTAGGCTGAAATACGCCGAGACGATCGAGATTTCATCTGCATAATATATTATAATACATATACATAAAGATTAGGTCTGCTGCCTTGCTCGCTCGCTTCATGCTCGCTCGCTACGGCAGCAATTACTGAACGCATGCGAAGAACCTTAGTTCGTATATAAAATCAAACAGGAGAACTTCTATTAATGCCTTGATGCGTGTAATTACCTCTTTCACAAAACTACGCCCTGATATACATATAGCTTAAATTGTGTTGCCTTTTATTAAAAATACATGCATATCAGGCTTTAAAATATCGGTCGGTCACGGACATTGTCCGACCCATTCGTGAAATTGTCCGACGTAGAAAGGAAACCACCGGACATTCTGTCCGACCAAGGTGAAACTGAGGTTTATTGTTTGTCCGACCCGAGTGTATTGGTGTGCGACCGAACTGTAGCTTTGTCCGACGTCAATCAAAATGTACCCTAGCCCAGGACTAGAGGCTTGTATGTTAAATGGAAATCAGAGTATACTATTGTATAAAAGGTGAACTGGAAATGTTGTTTTAATTAACGTAGTCGAGCGTGGGGCGGCGAGCGAAATGGTGAAGTGGAAAACGGGCTTAAGTTGTCGAAGTCTTTTTTTAATACTGCTGTTCTGGAAAGCAAGTTAATTTTGGCTTGGAAATAAGTATGAAAGGAACAAATTATTTAATATCTTTACAACATTTACCATTTATTCATTTGTGTCATTCAGACTTATTTCCGAGTCAAAACTGAACTGAATTCGAAGGTCATCGGACATATGTCCGACCCAAATTCAACGTCACCGGACATTTTGTCAGACGCCCTGTAAAAGATATTTTAAGGCCTGTCATATGCGGATATATACATTCCTATTAAGACCCTGTTAGTCTATATAAGGACAACAGCAAGAAACAAAAAAAAGCATTTTATTGTATTACTGGCCATGGATATTTGTTACGTTAAATTGTCCTGTATTTATCTGTTTACAAACATACTCTTCAGGCCAGTTTTCCACTTAGCCTGCATGGCAGGCGGTCTTTCCCAGGTTTCCCGCAAAACTTGGCTGGTGCATAGGAAGTAAAAGATTCCGTTTCGTATAGATGAATTGTTTGGAAGTGTTATAGCCCTGTCACGAATGTCGCGAATCAGAATGACTATGTTTATTTGTTACGATACAAACATATTGAGCTATAAAGTATAAATTCTACTCTGTAACTGTAAGTGGGCAACGCTATATAGAGCCTCAAATTTTGTTATTTTAGCTCACATGAAACTCCTAGAAACATGTCTATCCTCATCAGGATATCCCAACACACACTCATGACTGATAGATCCAATGAGATAATCGATCTAACAGGAAGGTTTAGGCGCGCACTTGCCGCTGATTGGCGAATGACATGCACCTCTTTTACAAGTTTCTATGCATTCGTAAAATTCGTCACTACTATACATACAACAACATGAAGTATTTTAAACGATACTGCAGTATTTTTAAGCAACAAAAAATCTGTTTATATTTACACACGCGTTTTTTTACACACGCGCATCTTATTATACATCACAAACTCTTTCATGCATCTTGTTTGTATTACGTCAGTGGTATTACAGTTGTAAACCCTGGCTACGCTACTGACGTCATTCACTTCCTATCTAAGGTACTGTTACCATCAACTGGCAGCAAATTTTTAACTATCATATATCAGTCACGACAGTCATTGCTTTTCACTGCGAAACGTTCTCCTGCAGTCATAGGCCGTGAGCTAGTGCCCTCAAACGTTTAGTTTCACTGTACAACTCGCTAAGCTAAAAATAAGATTTAAACACGCTGAATCCAATTCAAAAAGTTCTTGTCCATAAACCCTGCAGTTTTTTTGTAAATTGTGATAAAAATGTTAAACTTTACGAGTTTCGCAATAACACTTTTACTATGTGCCACAACTTAAAATGCGTACTTTCGGAAGCATTCACTCGCGCGCCATAGTGAAAGTTATACAGGATAGGTCACTTCCGCCTAATCTTGAGATATGTGGATTCAGATTTGATGTAATTGCGACAGAACATATTTTCTGGCTTTGTAGATACCTAGCAACACCAAACATTCTTTCAAGATTATGAACTTTTAAAGTGCAGACAATTTCATCTTTTAATATGGCGTGTAATGAAGAACAAATTAAAGAAACTTCAATTTTATAGTATCAAACACTAATAAACAATATTCAAAGCAGACTACTCACTATTTTTCTTTTCGTGTAAAACCAAGTCAATCACCACAAAAGTCAATCACCACAATCCACTGCCTCTTCACGATCAAAGCCAACAAATTTTATAAAGATGCTGTTGTCTGTCTGGTACATGGGTGGAAAAAATATCAAAAACCAATAGAAAGGATGTTACCTGTTCTGTAGGAATGAGCTAAGAAATGCATCAATTTTCACTGATAGTGTGATAGTATATAAATGTATAGATTAGAGAATTACTGTATGTGTATGTCACAAATGTTGCGTGGCAAATGTATTTTTGGCCAGTCTGGGGCACTTGATTTTCAAAATATTTTGGGGAGCATTGCCTCCTTTATATAGCTGCTCTTTGTGTCAAGGATCCTCCCCATGAAGAGTTGCTCATTTGAGCACAACATTCCATTCCTTTTGTCTCATATATCAATATCACAAAAGTTCTCTGCTTTCCATATTTTCACATTGACATAATTCTGTGCATTGTAAATCCGCTTTCCATAGCCGGATTTTGAGGTGAGCACCTTCCCTGAAATAGTTTTGCACCTCCCCTGAGAATTTTTGCACCTCTCCTAAAACGTCATATGCACCTCCCCTTGAAGTTTCAATGATAGATCAAAGTAAAAATTTGACATTTTTTGGTTGTTCAGGGTCTATTCTTGGTAAGAAAGTTTTCCTGTAAAATTGAAACAGTGATAACCATTCATCTCTGTCAAGTACCCTTTTAATGAAATATTTTGAAAAAATCAAGTGAACCAGATTGGCTATAAAAATGAATATCCAATGCAACATTTGTTATGTCACTCTATAATCTATACATTTATACACGATCACACTATGATTGAAGATGGATGCACTTATAGTTGCATTTTTGAGCTTATTCCTACAAATTTCCCTCTGAATTTCTCCTTTTGTCTAAATTTTTGGTCCCGTGGTCTGATACTTTTTCCACCCCATATACATGGGAGACCCAAGGACCTGCTTCATGCATCTGGAGCTGACAGCATCTTTATAGAATGGTGTGCTCAAGTGAGCAGCCACTCATGGGGAGAAATCTCAACACAAAGAGCAGCTATGAAGGGGACAATGCCCAGAATATTATGAAAAAATCAAGTGCCCCAGATTGGCTAATAATGAATATCCCATGCAACATTTGTTATGTCACTCTATAACCTATACATTTAATATACACTACATCACACTATGAATGAAGATGGATGTACTTATAGTTGCATTTTTGAGCTCATTCCTACAGAACAAGTAACATTCTTTCTATTGGTTACAATTTCCCCTCTGAATTAATTTTTCCTTTTGTCTAAATTTTTGGTCCTGTGGTCTGATACTTTTTCCAACCCCTGTACATGGCCCACATGGGGGACTCATTCACGGGATGAAAAATTAGATTTGCATATGTGCAAATGTATGTGCAAATTTGAAGCGAATTATAAAATCGCACATCTTCGACCACATTTGCACATATGCAAAGTTATAAATTGACTTCGACTTTGCACCATGTGCCGGATTGCAAATACCGCGATGCCACGCATTGCAAATTTGATGCAAAGATGGTGTCGTTTTTTATATTTGCAGGTAATGCGAATTTGTGGCGAATTTTGGGCGAATATAGAGATCGCAAAATAATCGCATATGATGCGATTATTGGTTCATTTTATTATTTGCAGTAAATGCGAATTTGCTGCCAAATTCTTGCCAATTTAACATATGCATATTCGTTTGCCATATATATTTTTATCGATATTTGCAAATTTAGTGAAATTAATTACGTACTTTTCAATAGGCCAGTAATTTTAAATACTGAGTACATATATCTCGATATCGTCACAGGTATAATTCGCAGGTGTTATTGAAAATTGGCTTTTATTTTGCTACGATCGCGAGCATGCATGGATTAGTTGTTCTCTGGACCACTTGAGTACAAATTAATATAAGATACAGTACATTCTAGGTTCCGACTAATGTATATGGGCATCCCCAAAACGTAGTACTTCATTTGATCAAAAATAAACAAAGTGAATGTTTTATATTATTCATATTTATTGAATATATAGTTACAATGGTATCTTCATTCAGTCCGTAAGTCAATATTGTCATCAATTCATTATAATAAATATTAAACTATCATGATTGCAATTGTGGCCTTTGTGACCTTAACTTAGGCATATTGCGGGCCACATTATCGAACATTAAAATTAAAGTACAAATATCATGCATGCATCAATATGTAACGGATAAAGTTCAACAATGTGTAACATGAGTAAAAGTTTTCTTTAGGCATACCTAAAATAGAAGGAAAGAAAAAAATATTAAAACAAATGAAATGTTAGATTAATTTAAATCTGAAGCTATACAGGGTGTATCAAAAAAAACTGAACAGATTTAAAATTGCTCTCAATTTCGCAAAACAGCTATTTGTAGCTGTTTTTTTATAAAAATAGCTTCTTTGGGTACTTATAATGTAAAATAATGAAAAAAATTTCTCGAACTTAAATTTTGTGAACCAGGGGGGTGTCTCTTTTCCAACAAACTAAAAATGGCTCGCGCACAAAATTTAAAAGCTGCAATCATATTTTGAGTTAACAGATGAAAAATTTGTCGGGATTTTAATTACTGTCCAAAATTTCAGACAATTTGGTTTAGTTTAAGCCCCTTAACTATTCACGCAAAGTTACAATTTTCCCGAAAAATCAGCTATTTGCATGCTTAATTACAAAATTAAACGAAACTTACCTGGAAGTTGAAGTTTGATTGGGATTCTATCTTGGTCATCAGTCCGGAACGAAGGAGTAACATGAGATGCGCATGCGCATTGCTGATCAGTATTCAACGTGAGTAGTGCAGGAGATTTAATAACAAATATGGGAAGGGTGGGTATTTAGGGCATGTTACTCCTTCGTTCCGGACTGATGACCAAGATAGAATCCCAATCAAACTTCAACTTCCAGGTAAGTTTCGTTTAATTTTGTAATTCTATCTTGTCATCAGTCCCTGTCACGAAGGAGTCCCATGAGATTTCAAAGTCCTGTGCTACGAACTATCAAGCCCATTGAACAATGTAATAAATTTCAATGAACTTTAATTAAACAATATCAACCAAGAAATAGACATTTTTATGCTCACTGTTTTAACAATACACTACCAAAGTTTTGGCTAACAATATCCACTGGTTTTTCATAAAAGGTTGCAAATGTCCCAGCATTCGACCAGCCTGCCGCCTCCATTATTGCCTTCATGGTAAGACCTTTAGCCTTGCAACTTGATGTTGATGCTGCGCAGCAACTATGAGCAGAATATTTTTTGACATCAATTCCAGCTGATCTGAGAACAAGTTTGACCCAACGCGCGATTGTGTCTTTCGAGACTGGCTTAAAGGGTTTGATGTAGCTCAGTAATAGTTGAGAGTATTGGGTTCTATGCTGTTCGGTTCTCTGCAAATATGCCTCCAACGTCTTGACAACACACAGCTTTTCCTCCTCTGGAAATGCCAGTAGGTCAATTGGTGCCAAGTGTTTTCCTGGTTTTGTATGCTTCAACTTGTCGTTAATGATGATTCTGTATCTGTCTGGTAACGCTTGAATCCCATTGACATCCATTTTATGTATTGTCTGTCCTCGTTGTCCAGTGGTGAGGCAAAGTAGTGTAGTTAGTTTTAATGTGAGTTCCTTGAGTGGTAAGGAGGCAACTTGCTCCAACGTCTTTAAATAATTTAAGACAACAATAACATCCCATATCTCTGAATATTTGGGTAAGGCTGGCCGTATTTCAAATATGCCTTTCATGTAGCGAATAACTAGGGGGTGTTCCCCAAATTTAACGCCCTCGTCTAATATAAGTAAGTTAGAAAGCGCTGAACGAGCAGTGTTTATGGCACTGTAACCTATACCTAAATGGTACAGTGAAACAAGAAACTCAATGCCATTCTCCAAGCCTGGTTTAATTACATCAATTTGCCGTTCCTTGCAATAAACCTGCCATTTATCTAAGTATGTTTTGTACTGTTTTGATGTACCTGGTCTCCACGAAGCCATAATTATCTCTTTTGCGTCAGCCGATAAATCGTATCTTTCTAGTTTCTCCCGGACAAGAGGCAGATTATAAGGTTCATTTTTTGCCAAATTGGATGTACCTCCTGTGGATGACTTGGTAGGCTGAGAAGACTTTTGCTGGCTTTGATGTAAACTGGCTCCTGTGTCATCATGTGAAACGCTTTTGCATACCAGCTCTGGGTTGGCCAGTTCGGCAACACACATATTCCCTGACCTCCCTCTTTTTGGATCTTTGCCAGCATAGCTCCAATGACACTAAATGGTGGGAAGGCGTAAAATTTTAAGTTCGCCCATGATAAGGTGAATGCATCTATTGCACAAGCATTTGGGTCTGGTCGGTATGCAACATATTTTGGGAATTGCTTGTTTACCCGAGTTGCAAATAAGTCGATCTCTGGGCTAAAGTTAAGCTTAACCAAGGTATCTGAAAGCAATGCCTTATTTAACATCCATTCAGATTCCCTTTGATGTCGCCTTGATTCATAATCCGCCACCAAATTTTGTTTTCCCGGGATGTGGGCTACGGTGAGCCATATGTTTTTATCTATACACCACTCCCAAATTTGCTTTGCCATATTATTGCAAATGTCAGAGTGACTTGTACCCATGTGATTTATAACATTAACCGCAGTGGTATTATCACACATTATTCTTATGTGTGTGTTATTCAGATTTTTTGCAAATGTCTGTAGGCCCAGAAAGATGGCTAACATTTCCAGATAGTTAATATGATTTGTAGCTTCAGACTTAGTCCACATTCCCCCTGTAGATATATCTTGGTACTCCGCCCCCCATCCCGAGAGGGAGGCATCAGTAGTGATTTTGTGTTGTGGCTCCTCATGTGTTAATTTCTGAAAGGAGTTTTCCACATGACACTCCCACCAGTGCAATTCCGTTTTTGCACCCTGTGATAGTGTCATTGTCACATCAAAATCCCCTTTTGCTTCTTTTAGGGCCTGGGTTTTATCTTTATCCAACTCCCTGTAGTACAAGGGTCCGTACATAACCCCCGGGAAGCTTGCCACTATTTTACCAATAATTCTCGCAACCTCTCGTATTGTTTGTGGTTTGGAGGCCGTCCTTAAAGCTTTACAAGCCTTTTTTAAATCAATAGCTTTATCGCTAGTCAACCGTATGGTCATGTCAATGAGTTGATAAGAAATCCCAGAGTGATAATTTGCTGCGAGGGTTTAAGAATTGATTTAATGGGGTGTATCACAAACCCTAAATTGTCAAGCAACATGAATGTATCAAGGACATTGACAACACATTTGTCATAAGTCTGACCTTGTAGGTAACAATCATCAATATGTGCCACAGAAATGTGGCCCATAGAGTGTAAAGTTGCTAATGCAGGTTTCAATATTTTTGTAAATACCCTAGGTGCACATGAAAGCCCATTGGGCAAACATGTAAACTGGTAAATTTCTTCTTTCCAGATGAAACGTAAATATTTTCGGTCTGATGCTTTGATGGGTATTGAGTAATATGCATCCTTTAAATCCAAAGATGCCATAAAGCAGTCCTTTGTAACTAGTTTAGTTATATCATAAATAGAATCCATCTTAAAATGATGATATACTACTGTTTCGTTAAACTTTTTCAAATTTAGAATGAGACGGTGTGACCCATCAGGTTTTGGTCTCAAAAATATGCTAGAAATAAATTGTGTTGTTTCAGGTTGTACTTTGTTTACTACCCCTTTACCAACTAACTTTGATATTTCTGCATCAAGTATTTGGTATTCATGTGGGTGAAACTTTTGACCTGGTAGGTTAAGTTGCACAGGTGTCTCAGTGCATTCAATTACAACGCCTGTTATATTTGATAAAATTTCGCTGTCCTGAGTTATTTTAGTCCAGGCTGTAAAATGCTCAGCCACTCGACCAGCCTTAAAGCTAGTGCATAAATTCTGTAAATATGTCAGAATAACAGGTATATATTTTTCAAATTCACTTACCGAGTTTCGGATTTGTTTGAGAAGTTCTGTCACTTCTTCTCTCGTCCCCCCCTCCAGGGTTTTTTCTTTTGATTGTTCTTGCGTTGGCCCTGCCAAAAATCCTGCTTATTTTTCAAGGCAGGTTTTTTGTTTGCAGAGTAATTGTACTGCTTGGGGGGATAACTTTTCATGGAAGAACTGAGGGAACTAGCCTCTTTGGCATCCTTTAAATTTTTTGCCAAATCATTCCCAAACAGCAGTTTACTGTTTGGCTGGTCTTCCAGTGAACATATTGCCGAGTATTCCTGTTTAAGGGCAGGCTTTATTTGTTCTTTCCTGACCAGAGACAAGTTAGTGTGGGTATGTGCTAAAATGGCTACCGTATCTACTAAACTTGCCAACAACTGGGAGTTATCCCTGTTAGGAGTTTCCACTAACATATTTGTTGTTTGTAAAGCTGCAAATGTTGCTTTGAGAACTGATTGCTGTAAATTATACAGTTGAATATCTGTTCTCTTGCTCTTCGAACCCAACAACTGCCATATTTCCGGGTTAACTTTTTTGCATGTCATACCCGGACAGTTTTCAGGACGAGTATATTTCTCTAGTATACTCTTCAATTTTTCAGGGTTGAGTTGTTTGCCCCAACGTTTTAATGCTATATCAGCTAATTTTTGCGATATGTTTGGACCTGTGGATTCATCATCCGATAGGCCTTTCGCAAGATCATTTAAGAGGTGTTCGGCTTCGGTGTCAGGTTCATTTTCCCGCTCTTTTTCAGAGCTTCCCA